ATGTGGAAACTTTCTGAGGATAGATAACAGATGGATGGATGGACGGATGGACGGATGAATGGATGGACGGGTGGACAGGTGGACGGGTGGACGGGTGGATGGGTGGGTGGATGGATGGATGGGTGGATGGATGGATGGACAGATGGATAGCTGTCATCCAGTTACATTGCTTGGTCCTGCATCAGCCTGACAATTGCCAGCATGTTTGAGGCAATTGTTGCATTTACTGTGCCAATCCATCTCACCGAGGGTCTCCATTGCCTTCACTGGCCCTCTACTTTACCAAACATGATGTCCTCCTCCAGTGATTGATCCCTCCTGATGATGTGTCCAAAGCAAGTGAGTCAAACAATGTTCTGTTGTGATCCATAAGGTTTTTATTGGCTAATTTTCAGAGGTAGATCTCCAGGCCTTTCTTCTAGTCTGTCTTACTCTGAAAACTTAGCTGAAACCTGTCCACCATGAATAATCCAGCAACACACAAGCAACCACAATACAACAAGCTGGCAAATGGGGGTGGAAACCAGTTTCCATCAAGTTAACTCCTACTCATGGAAACCACATGTGTGTCAGAGTAGAACTGCGTTCCATACGGTTTTTGATGGCTGATTTTTCAGAAGTAGATCACCAGGCCTTTCTTCCAAGGCACCTCTGGATGGACTCCAACTTTCCAATCTTTCGGTTAGCATCTGAGTGTTTCACTGTTTACACCACCCAGGGAATCTTCTGAGGATAGGACTCATGAATAATTACAACAGTGTCAAACATTTATATAGTGCTTATTATGTGCCAAGTACATGATGTGTATTATAACTCATTTAATCCTCATAACAGCCCTATGATGTAGGTACCATTATCATTCCCATTACATGAGGAAAAGGAGACACTGTGAGGTTAAGTAACTTACCTGGCTTGACGTCACCTAGCTGGTAAGTGATAAAGCAAGGATTTGATCCTAGGCAGACTGGCTCCCCCGTCCCCTTAGCCCCCTCTCAGATGACCCCCTCCTATCCCTGGTATTTAATCTCGGCCCTGTGTTTTCCCAGTGTTACACTTTGTCCAGCATGATTGTTTTTAAAGTCTCAGCAATCTTTCCTGAAAGATTCAAGCTAATAGTCCGATGTATCTTTCCTTGAAAAAAGCAGCAGCAGCAACAACAAACCCAAAAACTAGCCTCTTGCAATGTAGACGCTGATATCTGTCCCAACTTTCTTACGCTTTTTTCCTTTTTTTTTTTAATTGTTGTGCTTTAAGTGAAAGTTTACAGTTCAAGTTAGTCTCTCCTACAAAAATTTATACATACATTGTTATGTGACGCTAGTTGCTCTCCCTATACTGTGACAGCACACTCCTCCTTTCCACCCCGGATTTCCCATGTCCATTCAACCACCTCCTGACCCTCTCGGTCTTCCCATCTCACCTCTGTACAGAAGCTGCCCGTTTAGTCTCATGTATCTACTTGAGCTAAGAAGTGACTTTTTTTAAATTTTTTTATTGTTGTAGTTTAAATGAAGTTTACATTTCAAGTTAGTCTCCCATACAAAAATTTATACATACATTGTTATCTGACGCTAATGGCTCTCCCCATACCGCGACAGCACACTCCTCCTTTCATTCCCCATGTCCATTCAGCCAGCTCCTAACCCTCTCTGCCTTCCCATCTCACCTCTGGATAGAAGCTGCCCATTTAGTCTCTTGTATCTACCTGAGCTAAGGTGCACACTCCTCATGAGTATCACTTTATGTCCCACAGACCAGTCCAATCCCTGTCTGAAGAGTGGGCCTCGGAAATTGTTTTAGTTCTGGGCTGACAGAGAATCCAGAGGCCATGCGTTCCCAGGTTCCTCCAGTCTCAGTCAGACCATTAAATCTAGTCTTCACTAGAATTTCAGTTCTGCACCCCACGTTTCTCCTTCTCCATCAGGGACTCTCTGTTGTGTTCCCTGTCAGGGCAGTCATTGGTGGTAGCTGGGCACCATCTAGTTCTTCTGGTCTCAGGCTGATGAGGTCTCCGGTTTATGTGGCCCTTTCT